TGTTTTTCTGTTGCTGCTCTAAATTTATGGAAGGATGTCCCTCTTCCTTCAGATGAGCTCCTTCTTGTCCGTTTGTAAAACTCTTAAAAACACATTTTTCTTTGTTTTCAGAGCCTGAAACCTGCTCTGCACTTCAGCTTTGATTGTTTTTACTGTTTTAACTGTTTTTATTCTTTTAATGTGTTTTAAATGTTCTTGATTTTACATGTACAGCACTTTGTTGCAGCTGTGGTTGTTTTATAGGGCTTTAAAATAGTTATTTTTATTATTTTGCTTCTTTTAGCATCCATTCTGCTTTTTTTGTTTCTGGTTTTTAATTTAAAAGCTCAGTTTCTGCTTCTTCAGGAAACTTCAGCTGATGTTCAGCTCTCACGCTGCAGTTTCACAGAAAAAGTATTTTCTTTTGTTGTGTTTGTGTTCTGGACCCACCTGGGGCGTGCCGGGCGTGCTGTACTCCACCATGTAGCCCTGAAGTTCTCCGTTCAGCTTCCCCGGAGGCTCCGCCCACATCACCAGAACCTCCGTCCCATTTGGTTTAGCCGTCACGTTAACCGGTGGGTTCTCTGGCACTGAAACATAAAAAACAACATTAAACAGATTTAAATCGTTTCCCGTTGCAGTCGTGTTTGAGTTGATGAAATTTGCAGAGGTCAGGAATCAGAAGGTTACAGAGGAATGTGTTCTGACAGCTTCGAGTCTCGGGGCTCATAACTGTAACATCTGGAGGGAAAAGATGTGCAGGAATGTGGAGAATTCTCTACTGACACAAAAAGGCATGTAGGGGCACCATGGACAAGGGGGAGTCCACTTTTAGACCGCTGTCCAACCTCCTTTGGACTCCCCCGTCTTTAGTCTCTTGTCCTTTCAGTAAACAAAAGACGGGAGTGGCTTGACTGCCTCACTGTTTCTTCACTCGCTCTCGATCTGTTTGTTTTTCTCTTCGACTAAATGTGTTTTTCTCACTTCATTTTTGGATGACTGCACCCTGACTTCTATTTTTCTCTGTCTTGTTGTTTCTTGATCTTTTTTCTGCCTGATCTTTTTTTTTTGGCTTAACTGTTCCTTGCCTTGAGAAAAAATAGTGACTTCATCTTTTTTCAGTTTCATCGTTCTTGGCTCCACCTTTTGTTCACCTTACTTTTGTCCATACCTTTCATTGGCTCTACTGTTTGTTGGCTCTACGTTTCTTTGGCCCTGCCTTCTGGGAGCCTTATCGTTTGTTGACCTTGTGTTTTGTGGGTGGCTCTACCTTTCACTGACCTTTGATTTCTGTGGCCTTACCTTTTCTTGTCCACCCCTTTCATTGGCTCTACCCTTTGTTGGCCCTACATTTTGTGGGTACCTGTATTACCTGTTGGTGGCCCTACTTTGTGTTGACCCTACCTTTCATTGGACCTTGATTTCTGTGGCCTTACCATTTGTTGGCTCTACCTTTCTTTGGCCTTTTTATACAGTTGTCTTACCTTATGTGGACTTTAGGTTCTTTGGTCAACAATATCTTAACGTGACTGTTTTTTGGTTCGTCTTTTCTTAACCTGATCTTAACTTAATTGGTTCCCTGCCCAATTATATTTTGGTTTGGTTGACAGCGTCACTGTCATATAAAATGACCTTTGTCTAATTCTCAACTGGACGATTCCTCAGTTTAACTATTCCTTTGCTTGACTTTGTCTGGACTGGACTTGTTCTCAGCCTGACCTTTAGTTGACTTGACTGCTTATCAGCTCAACCAGATCTGGACTCGACAGTTTTCAGACTTGACTCTCTCTCAGTCTTACTGTGTCTGTTTTTCTGGGGTTTTTTTCCAGAGTGAAAGCAGCTGTGAGCGCAAACACCCAGAGGAGAGGAAAGGCTGAAGAACATGCCAGACGTGGTATCTGAGTATGTGTGACTGTAAGAATGAGATGTGCAGAATTCCAAGAAAAGAGTGCTTATGATTTGTTCGTTCGATTCTGCCGACTCTAAAGTGAAGTCAGTGAGAGTTTGGGGAAACGCTGCCCGGCCTACAGTATGGATGATGTTATCAGGGATCGTTTGGCGGCTGATTGTTTCCACATGTGCTCCGTGTTCTGCCTGCAACAAAAACAACCTCTGAGTCAAGTTCCACTCGGCTCCACCTCAACGCTCCATCATCTCCTCCATCTTCTTCACGCCAGCGTTCCTTCTCCCTCACCGCTCGTTTTCCTTACAGCTACGGGCTCAAGAGAACGACGATTTTAACCGTTAAGTTGTTTTTTTTTAATCGCTTGTGAATTTTTGTTTAGCTTCCTGTTATGACAAGGAGTTTAAAGTGACGTAATTTAAACATCATTAAACACGGTTTTAGGACAGAGACTAAACTCTTTTTCTCTTTCTGAGAGTCTTCTGTCGTCAGACTTTCTGGCCTCAGCGTGGGTCAACACTCAGACGGAAAAAGGTCGACCTGAACCACAAACTGACGCACAACTGAGTTTTTCCTTATAGGAAGAAAACTGCAACCAACGTCTTTTTTACTGTATTTCACAAGACGTGAAAATGTTGCAGGTTTGGTTTAAAAGCAGAACATTTTGTCATGTTTCATGTCTGAGGTTGCATTTTTTGCTCATAACAGGATTAAATATGTCACGCTGAGTCATTTCTCAGGATATGATTGGCTCGTTAATAAGACTCGTATTACTGCATGTTTTAGTGGTTTCCCTGCTTTGACACGTCTGATTTAAATGAATGGGGGATTAACAGGTTTCTACAGAACTTGAGGAAATAATTAAATAACTGAATCAGATGTGTGGAAGCAGAGAAACAACTAAAACATGCAGGATGGTGTTCCTCAAGGACTAGTGTTGGGAACCATTGGTTTTGCAAACAAACTCAACTTATTTCCACATTCTTTACTCCTCGGATAGTTTAAACGTCAAACAGTGGACATTTTTATCTTCTTTCACTCAGTTTGTCTCTCACCATGGTAGAACTGATGGTTTTGTTCTCAAACTTCCTCAAAATGCAGAAACGCCCAAACTCTCAAACTAAAAGTCGACCTAAGTGGAGAAAACTGAAAGTGAAGAATTTTTATTTTGTCACAAACGTGGAGTGAAAAGGAGGAGTTGGAAATACCCTCCTTCTGTCTGTCCGTCCGTGCATGATGTGAGCGCAATAACTTAAAAAATAAGTGAGGTATCGACCTCCATTTTCATGTGACTGCATCTACGTGAGAACGGTTCCTTTAGAAAATTGGGTTTTTGCGTCAAAATCCAAAACGGTCACCACCAAATATATATTTAAACTGACCACCCCCATCATTTGAGGAAACTATGCCTTAGTTTTTATATTGTTTAAAAGTAAAGTTTCCTAAAATGACTGTGGCTGAAGATTAATCAGTGGTGGTCAAGGCCACCATTGGCCACCCCCTGGCTCCACCACTGCACCTGGTGGTGGATAAAAGGTCTCCCTCCTCTCTCCCGGATCCGTCACTCTGCTCTGCCTTGGATAAGAACAAATAACATAAAAACTTCCCTCTGCTCTCCTCCTCATTTAAAACACAGCAAACCAATAAAAACGTATTTGTGGCCTTCAGAGCCTCTCGTTGCTCACGGCTCAACATTTGAGATATGACAAAGTTTTAGCAGAGCAACTGTCTGAAACTTCCATCTCTGCATGTGCTCGTAAAGGATGCAGGGACATCGTCACCCTGCCTGTTGCTGCAGTTTCTGAGAAGGATCTTCTCCTGGAGGATTTCATCGTGACGGGTCTCAGAGGTCGACCCATCCTGACCTGCTCAGTTCTGACGGTGATTTTCTCATTTTTTATTTTCCTCTACTTGACTGACTGCGATTATATTAATTACGTTTTTATTGTTTCTTACAGCCTGAAGGTTGGAAATATGAATGATTGAGTTTTGTGGAAGTCTGCGATTTATTCTTTATACAAAATTAAACCATTAAAAGAACACCCAGAGGCTGTAGATGAAAGTTAAGAGTTTCTCTGTGGTCCATCAGAACTTCTTCAGAACCGCCAAGAAAAGTCCGTAGAGTTGGATTCAAATGTTCGGAGTTATTTTTAAGTAGCCAACAGGAAATGCGCTCTTATTTTGGAAATACAAATAAAATCTGAGTGCAGCTTCAGGATTTAGAGGGCAACCAGGTTCGCCTCATTTCCTCTCCCACCAGCCTCCTCCCCCCTTCTCCCTCTGTTCTCTCACCCTCCGGGAAGAGAAACGGTTTGGGGAAAAATGGGACAAATGTGTGTTTTCTCAACACCCCCACCCACACACACACACACACACACACACACATTTCTCTGCACGTTTCCCCCTAACTCTGATTAAAAGCGCACTTCTTCATGTTTTCCCACATCGCCTTGCCCTGGGAACATTTCACCCCCGGCCCTGAAGAACCGAAGAGAGAACTCGACGAGTTTGACTCGAGGGTTCGAGCCAGAAAAGGACGGACTGAGGAACTGGAGCGCGAGCAGCCGAGGAAACAGACGACAGAAGAAAGCTTGTCGGAGTCGTAAATCTGAAATGTAAAAAGTGAGGGAGAGCAGCAGCGTGTGGGAACGTCTGCGACCACAAGAAACATGGACGAGAACATTTCTGCACGATTTACAAGCGGCAGAACAAACCAGGACTTCATTAAAAGAATGCATATCGCCCGCCGCCTTCACATCACAGCTTCCAACTGAGCCCGTCCACTCTGTACAAGTTACCAGAAGTTCATGAGATATTTTGCTAACAGACAGACAGGGTTGACATCAAAAGTTAGAGCTAAAGTTTTAAGCCATTGCCTAAAGTGTGTGTTGTGAATGACTCTCAGCTACTACCACACCAGAGTGTAGCTCATTATCTGTGAAACGGACTGAGTTTGATGTGTTGGCTGAGGTCAGCTAGCTGTGGCAGCCATCTTGAATACGGCTGACTCCCAAACAAAGATCGTTATTTGTAGACCAGTGGTTCATGCATCGTTTTGCTAACACACTGCATCTTCTAACTCAGTTTAAGATTCAGGAACTGATTTTTATATATATATATATCCGGTGATGCAGAAATCATAAAATCTGTGACTTTCCTCCTGAAATGAAACAAACATTTCTCCGACTTGTTTTAGTAAATAAAGAAGTGAAACTCTCCGATCCTGACCGTGGGTTTTAACCAGTTCTGCTTCTCTCTTTTTATTTTCCTGTTTATGAGAAAAAGAGAAACGCTGCGTTCACAGCGGACGCACAGTTCCATCCCGTTTCTCCGAGGGCGGCGAGGAAACATCCCTCGGGTCAGAGTCAAACATGGAGCTTTAGCACAAGCGCCGCTTTTCAGTGAAGCCTTTCAGGAGAATTTCACCTCCTTTTGTTCCACATCATCCTCCTCCTGTGTCCCTCCTGGTCCAACATGTCTGACAACCTTCACAGTTAACAGACAAGTGCTCACTAACACCTGCTCCCCGTCAACAAGAGACAAACGACTAGATTATCAGACCATCTGACCAAACTCAGGTGGTCCAGATTATCAGACCATCTGACCAAACTCAAGTCGTCCAGATTATCAGACCATTTGACCAAACTCAGGTCATCCAGATTATCAGACCATCTGACCAAACTCAAGTCATCCAGATTATCAGACCATCTGGCCAAACTCAGGTCGTCCAAAATACGCTCAGAAAGATTTTCATTAAACAAAAACATTTAAATGAAAGAAGCGTTTCTTAAAGTAAAGCATATCGCCCATTGAGATAAAAGGCCTTTGTCCATGGACTCGCCTTGGCACGGCTTCAGAGCCTTTCCATCAGGCGGTCCAACCTGCCTCCAGCTTGGTTCCTCAAGCTGAGTCGAGGTGAAGAAGTGATGTCAACGACTGCAGGACACGATTGGTCAGAAAGAGCTGTCAGTCACTAGATTGAGCCTTTGTTTGTTTACTTTTGAATAAATGTATAGTATATCCATTTAAATGGCAACGCATCAGCCGACACTGTGGTACTATGAGGCGGCACGGATGGTTCAGTGGAGGAATTGGAGCAAATAGGCTCCATTTACGAGCTCTGAATGGCGAAGAGAACGGGGCCTCTATTCGGCCACAGCATTTTATGAAACCGTGGCAAAGGATGGTGAGTGTTTGTGACTTTATTTCACTTGTTTGGCTGTTGTTGTGTTTGCCTTGGATAGAAAATAAAGTTGCAGAAGTTTCAGGTGCTCGGTCTACGACCATCATTGAGGCGGACTCAAGTTACATCAGAAGCTCCAGAGACTGTGGTTGGGAGAGTCATGGTAAAAATGAAAAATGGAAAAACAGCTATAGCTAGAGAGAGGACCTGAAACTGTAAGTTGAAGCCACTCTGCTTGAGGGCCCCCCCAGTGTCTGGCTCCAGAACAGAGTTTAAGCTCCGCCCCTCCATGGAAATGACAAGGACATTTTCTGGACTCAAAAAAAAAAAAAAAAAATACACGCCAGATAATTTTAAATCCACCAAACTGGCTTTTTCCACTATAGGAGTTGGTGCTTGTGGGACTCCAGTTTGTTTGTGGCTCCTCAGACTGAAGAAGTCCTTTGGATGAAGCTCGAAACGTCTCAGGAAAAAAAAAAAAAAGAAACCATCCAGATGACCTGACTGAACATTGTTGGATTCGTACCTGGATTATTGAGCATGAACTTTGGTGACCCCAGGTAATTATTTTCATGTGTTGATGTTTGTTTCACGTAACTGTATAACTTTAAATATTAAAAATGTCATGAAATTCAAGCAATTAAAAAAAAAATTTTTTTTTATCCTTTATAATGTCGCAGAGTTCTGTGGTAATTTGAAAGCTGAACAGCAGCAGCTAGCTGTAGCACATGTGGTACGTCCTGCAGGAATATAATATTTGTACCAGAAAAAAAAAGTTTAAAGTAAAACTAGCAGCTGTTTTGCTACTTTAAGGATATTTTTAAAGATCGGAGTCATTTAAAAATGACAGTGGTCCACTTGGTCCTTGCTCTGACTAGCCATTAGCTCATCAGTCTGGTAAAAAGAAAACATTAGCTATCTTCAACAGGTAAGATATTAGCACCTGCACAGAATCCTATGTCCAAAGAGCTGAACTATCCCCTCAGGTTCTGCTCCTCACACGTGTTCTGTTGAGTCGGAGTCTCGCGCTGAATCTGATCCGATTGCAGCTCGAAGCAGAACTCAACGAGGCAACGTTAACATTGAACAGTGAAATCTGTCGCCCAAAGTTGGAGTTTTAACAAAACCAAACCTTCGGTGCAAATTTATTTCCACATATTTTTTATGAAAATATCCGTTCACACAGGCTAAAGCTGTGTATTGGTGTAGGTTCTGTCCTGACCCGGTTACAGGAAACAAACAGAGCTCAGTCAGTACCCAGACAAACGAAGCCTTGACCCTGAAACACAACTCTGAGTGAAAACTCACCGCCTTCTTCAGTGCGTAGCTCCGCCCACGGCGTCCAGTCCGATGGGCCCTGGTTGGTGAGGCAGGCCACCCTGACGGCGTACCGGCTGTGGGGCTCCAGGTCCCCGATGAGGTGGACGGCTGGCGGGACACTCACACTCTGGTTGTGGATCATCTTATCTGGACTGGACCCGCCTGTCTTGGCCTGGAATGGTCGGATAAGAAATCTGTTCTTTCGTCTGAATGTAAACCGTGGAGCAACAAGTTGGAGCGTTTCATGGCACAAACAGGAAGAGGATCCGGTTCCAACGGAGGGAAAAAAACAACTAATAATTACAATAAAAAGACTAAATAATAAAATAATTTGAATACATTCAAACTGTCTAATAAATATAAACAACAACAAACAAGCAGATCAGCTAAAAGAGAATAAAAAATCCTAAAGTATTCAGCAATAAGAGACTTTTGAAACATTTTAAATATTTCATGAATCACTGAACAGACTTTAATGAAATTCTCAGAAAGCAACACTTGAATGAACGTTTGCATCTGAAGAAGTGTTGGCATCAACCCAGATCAAGATGGCTGCCACAGCCAGCTGAACTTGGGAAACATAAAAACCGCTGCAACTCAGACACTTTTATTAATAATAATAATAATAATAATAATAATAATAATAATAAT